CTCTGCAAGATGGTCCTTCAAGAAGAGGGAAACATTTGCACTGCTGTTTCCCAAACTCTGTGACATTCTTTCAAAGCGTGCCTGTATTGGACTCGATGCGAAGGGTGCAAAAGGGTGTCCATGTCCTTTGACAACCCTACAAGTGATCTTACAACACTGGGTCCAGTATTAAAACTGCACAAGGGAGCAAAACTACTCTAGTTTCTGTTTCTAGTATTGCTATCAAGGTGCACAGGACCTTGAACCCCTCGTTTCATTTCACTTATTCAAACATAGGTGTTAAATTTTGGACACAGGAGAAATAATCTATACTAAGCAACATATTTATATCCCAAAAAGTTAGAGATGGCCAATTTTTGAGAAGAAAATAGGGGACTGAAGTAGTATTTCCGGGTTCTTTTTAGTTAAAGACACTATTTCTGATGTATCTATCATAAACCTGACATTTTCTTGAGAAAGTGAATGGGAAAAGGTGGAAAAATAGTTCTGGTTTTTGGTATATGTTTGTTTGTTTTGTTTTGTTTTCACTCAAACTCTAACTCCAAAAATTAAATTAGTTGATTCATGACTGCGGTTAGAGTGCACCTGCTGTTACAATACCCCATACCCTTATTTTCTCTACATACTGTGTTAATTAGAAAGGCTTCATTTCTTTAAATGCAATAAAAGCAGAAACACCTTCATGCACTGAACTGGCTCACACAAAGAAGGAATATGGTGCACCACAGGAAATACTGTCTAATTAGAAACCAAAACCAATAAAGAGAAATGGGGGCACAGAACATCAGAAACTCTCTTCAACTAAAGTTTGTGGATTAAACCCAAAATATCAGGCTCTGAAATTGAATTTTCAAATAAACTAGTAAAAATTTTCAGAGAAATGTATTTTAAATACTTTTTTCCTAAATATTCCTTTAACTGATAATACTAATTATTTTAAGTGCTTTCCTTAAATGTTTTTTGGTCTCATTTCTCTAGTTGAAAAATGCTGTAACATTTGCACATTATATAGAGAAGCTGTGAAAATATTAAAGAGTTGAGATAACTAAGCACAAAGTTACATTACACATAATGATGAAACAAAAGCCTATGGGTGCAGAAAAATATCTGTTTCCCAGGGGCTGAGGAAATACTATACTGGAAATACCAGCTATATGAATGCCGCACATGTCAATATTGCAACTTTTTCTGTGACTGCATTAGCTTGGCACCCATGCTGCCAATTACATTTTTGTAATGCCCACCTCATCCAGCCGTAATTACTCCTTTCTGGTTTTCGTGGACAGGACATTTTAAAAGAGTCAAAAAGTTGTAGAATGAATGGCTTGGATGTATATACTTGAGAAAGTGTCCTTGCTGATGAAATGCTACCTTATCTCTCGCCCATGCCCCAGTCCATACATTAAAAATCAACCAAGCAAAAAGCCTTGTTACAATCATGCTTCCTGAGTTACTAAATGGCAAATCTGAGGGCTTTTGCTACACCTAAGGGCAGTGTAGATGTCCTTGCAAAAGAGACAGGAGGTTCTTTCTCCAGGACTGTTCAAGACTTGAGTTTCTGCTAGGACACCTTAGCATGTGAGCCACGTGAAGTCAGCAGCAGTGTTGAATTTTATGATGGCTAACTATACTGAAGTAATAAGATGTGACTGGACTTAATCAAGTTCATGGGCACAGGACATCACGAGACACCAGAGAAGTGCCCACTAACATTGGCTTTTGTAGTCTGTCACACAAATCCATAACTTTAAAGGCATTCAGGTCTCAAGCTGCTCTTGATTTCATCATTAGTTACAGGCTCAAACACCTGAGATAATTTGTGTGCATATGCCATCTAGAACTGTAGCATTTTGGTCTCCTTACTTACCTGGTTATGTTTGATATCTTCAGCAGGTGCACCATACGAATTCCTGTACAAAGTTGAGATTCCAGTGTTCTGAGCTGGAGAAAGGAAGGAAGGAAAAAGCAGATTTACCAAACATACCTCTTTGGCCTCAAAGTGAATTCTGAAGGCTTCATACATACATTATACAGCACCTGTTTCCCACATACAAAAATCTTTAAAACCATCTGTAGACTTCAATTTTCTCTTCCTTCCCTTAACAGTCATAATCTTTGCTTTGGTGCACACGTGTGTACATGGTACACAATTATTAATGGGAACAGGCACAGTATCATGTTCATACCAATCTTGTGTACTTCACATATAAATTGTGGAATACAGCTAGCATTCAGTAATATACTTCAGATTATATATGGGATTTTTATATCACACATACACTAAACAGGCAACAGTTGTAAATATTGAGATTAGGAAACATTTCATTCCTTTCACTTCAGCTGGATGATGTTACACCAAATCCTGGGTTATTTATCCTACAGTGCTTCTGCTATATGGTGAAATTATTCATGGAAAAAAAATGATTAAATGCAACTGAAAATGAGTTATGCAAAAAAGTAATATGTAGTTATATTAAAGATAGTCTCAAATCCATCAACTGCATATTACTGGTACTGGAACTGGTGCTACTGAAATGCATGGACAAAACGGAGCTATGAGTTTGAAATCAGAAGTAATTCGAAAGACAAGGATAGCATCATACAGTTTTACAAAAATTTATTTCCCACCCTGTCATAAAAACACATAAAAAGCTAAGGAATTTCCCTGCAAAGCTGAGTTCATGAATCACTTTGATTTTGCTATCCAGCTGAAGCTTAGTTTGCTGGAAGAACTAGAACAATTGTAGTTATTTCTCATATTTGATCAAATATGAGGGCAGTATTTTGTGCGGCTGCTGTGCACTGTTCCTACTGGGCAAGTGTTAACTTTCCAGACATTAACTTTCCAGACATTATAACCAATGATTTGATGCTGTCGTGAGGACACTGATTGCAAAAGCATGTGCTTGAAAGTAAAAATTGAGTAACAGTGAATCAGAGTCATCAGTGGAACTGAAACACACTGCTCACCCAACTCCTCTCAGGTCTCTGTGCAATTATATAAAACCTGGAGACACCAAGATTTGCTTTTAATACCTTTGACACTTGAAATTTTGAGGGTGAGGACTCAGCATCAGAGCTGAAAGCTGGCTATGGGTCCATGCTAGTCACATCACTAAGAAGAACCACAGTTACTGAAGAAGTAACCACTCTTTCTTCTTTTGGCAACCTGCTAGCATGGACCCCAGTGCGTACAATGGCCTCTATCTTTCTCCCAGCCACTGCATCCTCTGGAGAAAGGAATGGCATAGGCTTCAGTCAAAGTTGACTGTAATACGCCAATTCTGATCTTCACATCTGCTATGAGTCCCATGCTGAGGGTATAATTATTGCCAGAGTTTGGTGCACTGTTCCATGTTGCTGCTTTACAGATCTCAGATGATGTTCTTAAAGATATCCACCATGTTCTTAAAACAGCATAAAAACAGGGCTTATATGGTGCCCTAACAGCTGGAAAAAGAGATTTTGTTTCTTGAAGAGCTGCATGCAGTTACTGAGATAGTGCATAGTCCTGTGTAGAAAATGGAGAAGGGCTCTGGAGGTCTCCAAGGAGTGTAGAAGGATCCTTTCTTTGAAGGTGGGAAGAACACGAACTGTAGTAATGGATGATTGGTCTTTTCCAGTGGTAGTCAGTCTTAATTCTGCCTGTGTGCCAATGGGTGGTAACAGATGGAAATGCTGACTGCTTGAGCAGTTTGTCTTTGGCCTTAGATGTTAGTACTGAAGGGCTGATCTGCAGAGGTTCTCTCTGCTCAGGCTCCATTTTGTCACCAAACTTGAGTGAAGTGTGAGACTTGACCTTTATTTCAGAGTTTTTAATATTCCAGCTGCATCCTTTGCTTTAGTGTTTCAAAAACCTCCCTCTTGATGACAGTCTTTGGTATTAGGGAAGTCTGCATCAGCACTGCTATTTATGGTGCATCTCATGATGGCATGACTCTCAGTAGTGCAACTGCCAGATCCTTCCTCGATACCATCTTTTTTATGCTGTTTTGCTGAGTTTTTTGATTGTCCTTCAAAATGCTATAAGAAATTAGGTTATACAAATTCCTCTTCTCAAGATCTAAAGATACTCAGAGTGTTTCAGCTACCCATTTTGTGAAGTGCTGCTTCTTGAAAAAAATGAAAGCGATACTCAATGTTTTGGACACATAAACAGAGGAAGAACTTCTTGTAATCATTTTGTTTTCATGTATATAATTGCAAGACAAACAGGGTTGAAGTTTCATACATGCAGGTTTTCACTCAGGCATGACTGACCATATCGTGTCCAGACAGGACAAAACTGTTCATGGTTGCCTGATGTCATGAATTAAAATATTGGTATAAGGTGCAACATCTGAGGGTTTGATGAAGACTCTGATAAAAAATAGCAAACTGGACACATGCTTATGAATATGTTGCTCCTAGAGGCAATCAGAGAGACTTTAAGGAGGGTTTTGACCATTCCATCTTTTAACAGGTATAAAAAAGGGGACACAGTACATATGTGCCACTAATACCCATGACTATTAGAAAACTAGAATTAGTCCACAGTTGGCGCATAGCTGTCCAGTGCACTACTGTGACATTTGCACTGACGTGCTCAGCATTGTCACATGCCAGACTGAAGATTTACAGTCTCCCAGATCACATATTCTGCGATGGAAACATGGATACTTACAGCTTATGAAAACAGCTGCAAGGTCTGCACTGCTGATTTCACTGCAGTAATGCGGATATAAATTCACAAGTTTAAAATGCAAATTAAAAAAAATAGTATCTGTTTCTTAATGTATTAAAAAGAAATACAATGACACATCAAATGCTTGGGAATGAATGCCAAGAGCTCAAGAAAAAGAAATCTTGGCTTAGTCTAGCTGAGAGGCTGAGATAATTCTGTCTCTGGAGGAAATGTAAGTCAAGCAATGTAGCTGCTAGCAGTGCATGCTGCTTCGCTCCAGTACCTGCATCTGAACACGCAGGTGGCATCCCTGGGAACTCCATTCCCCCTCTGCTATGCTTCAGTGAGCAGCTGACTCTTGCTGTCCAAAAGCAAAGGGCAAATATAAAAGAAAGAAGGGAGAGAATGAGCTAGATGAATGAACAGATACTGTGTGGTTAGCATCTGATTTTTTTGCTGTCAATATTGTATACGTACCACCACAGCAAAATTACCAGAGAGAAAGAGAGGTTAATGAAATAATTTTCTTTTTTAAAATATGTCAAGAGAAGGGAAAGGAGTACAAGGAGCAAGAGATGGAGGTTTTCCAGCAGCCACACTTCCTTAGAGAGATGTGAGAACTGTAGCTGCAGATGAAATGATTTGAGGAGTGATGAGTGTGTGTATGTCTGTGTTTTATGCAGTATCTAAACATCAGCACATGATAGTACTGAACAGGTTTTCTACTAGGCAAAATTGTGAAGGTTCTAAAATGAGTACTATGATCAACCTGCAGTACTTTGTGGTTGCATTGCATAAAGAACATTATAGCAAAATGCCTTCCTTTATAACCCCGTTCATTTTTTAAGGTAACATTGGTCAAAGAAAAAAAAAATCATATTGTTACCAACAGCACTTTTCTGCAAAACTGACAACAGCTTTGTAACTCAGTGGTTTATGTGACAAAGATATCACTGATCAAAGCTGTTCCCATATATCCCAGTTCTTGATTCACGGTTTAACTTTCAGCTTTCAGTTCTTGTAAGTACTTATTCTGAACACATTTATGGACACTGTAAAATAACAAGATGCTAGCCTTTTGCCCTCACAAACACAGACTGATAGTAAGAAAGGATAGCTCAGCTGGACAGGTACTCATCCTCATCTGGTATTGTGTAACCTGTTTTTTCTGCTATAAGCAGCAGGAGTCCATTTTCTCAAATTTAGTTCAAGACAGTAAAGGAAAATGCTACTGTGTCTCACAAATCTCAGCTAACAGAGATCATTACCTGTCACTACCATTGCCACCTTTCTGCACGGTGAACGATTAAGTAAGCGCATGAGAAAAGATCAGAGTGTATGATGGTTTCTTAAAGTAATAATAAGTTCAAGTAGCCTTAGCATCTGTAGCTATTTTAACAGATGATGGTGGTTAGCTTGTGTTCTGAACGTGCAGGGACTTGCAAGTAAGTTTCAATAACAAAAGTATAGACACTTGATTCTTGATAACTAAAATAAAATAATCAGAATGTGTTTCTGCTGGTGGAAGTGAAGATACTGGGTGCAGACTGCGATGCATGTATTGGTTCAGCACTGCGAAGTAAAATAAACTTTAGGAGACCCATGATGGTATACACTAAGCTTTTCTTTCCTGTTCTGAAGGAACACACAATGGCATAAATAATGTCATCACATGCTCTTATAGCTCCTGGTTTTTTTAAAGGAATGTAATAGTTTTTGTCTTAAAATATACTTTAGGTAATAAAATTTTATTATTGGTTATTATTTTCTACAGAGAAGATGGACAGTAAATATACCACGCATCATAAACCTGTGAGGGGAAGAGGGCAATGAGAACTTTGGTATTGTTCCTCTATTTTTTAGCTGTCCTTGTGAAATCAATACAAGTTACCAACTTTAGCCAAACTGTTTACTTCATAGATTCTCCATTTTCCCCAGAGGTTTCCTGACAACTCCCCCCAATGGCAAGAAGCCAACATTTCTACTTCGAAAATCCATCAAAAACCCTCCATTTCAGTCCCAGCCAAGAGGTCATAAAATTTTTGACCTGTAAACTGAGAAGAGCTTTGGAGAAGAGCATGGAGACAGTCATGGATAAATTTGGACTACAGCTGTGGCTCTACATTCTGTGTAAATCCGTAAGTCAATGAAAGCTTTGTGTAATACATCAGCTTGGCACAAAATACAAGAGCAGCTCAGAATATGTATATGCCAGGTGGAACCTGAAAAAACATTTATCTAAATCCCGTATGCTTTGTGGATGCATTACCTGCAATACATTGTCTGATGAACAAAATGAAATACAGGCATTGCAATGAACTTGCTACATGAACTTATATTAATATGACGATCCAAGTAAAGTAAAAAAGTCTCACAATTAAAATCACAAATACAGATTTTATATTGTTCTTTAATTAAATACTTATTTCATGGGCTACAAATGTGTTAGACAAATTTCATGTTGAATGTTGATGTATAAGACTCCTCTGAATTGTCATTTTCTTTGGTTCTCAAAATGGAGATTAATTTGAGCTCAAACCAAATGAACAGAAATTTGGTGACCTGAAAGAGAGAGAAAGTGATTTGTTAATTTCATCTTCATTTGTATAGTGTCCATGTAAGGTTGTGAAATATTATTAAACTTTTCAATCTGATCTTAGTTTTAATTTTTCTCACTGAGCTCAGTAGCTGGAAAAATAGTGGATTGCTGAGAGTCTTTGAGTTTCCTTACTAAAAGCCCACTGAAAAGATGAGTAAGAGCAGACAAAATACAAAGAGTTATTATAGGAAAAAATGATGCAAAAATCAAAGTGGAGCAAAGGTTGCTGGGGAAGTACAAACCTCATGATCTGAAAACTATATTGACATAGAAAGAAAACAAGGGAAACAGTAATTGGAGAAGAAAAACACTACAGTAAAAGACAAAAGGAAAGGGGATGGGGAAAAAGAAAATCCAGGTCTTTTTTTAAGTGTGGAGAGAGACAAGACTATCTGCAAGGAAACACAGATTTTCCACATGGAAAACCTTTTTTTTGTGTGAACCTGATATAATCTGGTAGACTAAATCTGCAGGCACAACTAGAACACAATACTAATGTTTTTGCTTTTTCAGCCTGCTGCTCTTACTCCTGAGATTCCCTCTTCATGGATCCTTGACAAAGTGCTGAAAAAACCTGCAGTCCTACCCTTCACAGTCACACAAGTAAGGACCACTGAAATGTTTTAGAGAACCACCCTGTGCAGTGGCTATGAAACACTCAAAACAGTACAGATACATAAAATGCAGTACCTTGGCTGAATCTGTAGTATGCTACGGATGCTGTTCAGGACACTCCTCATTTCTGTGGCTCCCAAATGCTCTTGACTGTCATTCCTCTTCTTCAGATTTTCACTTTCATGCTGATTAATGTCCCGTATGGCATTTTCATACAAATGCAATGGCTGGCCTTTAGATTTTGATTACACAATAGCATATGACATAGTAGATGTAGTATGAGTATCATCATATCCTAAATACGGTCTTGAAAGCCAGAATGGATGGCCTGATGCCAAGTCAGCATGCTACTGGTGTCCCCAGTGAGCTGAGGAACACAAAGACAGCCCATTCTGGCATCCTCTGAGCAAAATCTCTACAGAGGGCGTGGGAAAAGGTAACAGGCATTCCGAAAGTGCAGAGTGACTTCTCACAGTGATTTTTTGCTTGCCCCGAGGTAGCATTTGGAGGAGAGGACACCATGATGCTCACCACTGTATGTATGTGTGAAAACGTTCAACAGAGGTTATATAAGCCTATGCAATGGTGATGGAGACCAACACATATATATAGCAAGAGAAGGTGCACTAGTGGGCAAAACACTCAAAATTTGATAATTACTGAAATGCTAACAGGTTAATGAGCTCACTAAGAGGGAGAAGGCTTCAGTGAAACCTGCCATAGACACCATAACATACACAGAGAAAATGGTTCAATTTACATCAGTCCAGCTGAGAAAGTAATAGACTTTACAAAGCGCTACTGAATTTCCTAGGAATGACTGATGTGTAAAATAAGCTAACCGGTCATGGAAATTCATTCTCTGCAAAAGACAGACGTTAGGGATCACCACACGTGCTCAACCATTGTCATGCTTTAGAAAAAACGGTAGTTAATACAAGGTGGATTTACTCATTTCCTTCTGAAATTAAAACAAAATTACGAAGAAATGAAAAATCGCTTTTAGAGCCTTTCCTCTATGAAGAAACACGGTCTTCACAAATTGTTTTCATACAGCATTGTATACATTAAGCTCAAATGCGGTTACATACAAAGGTGGCTACAACTTTGGAATCAACAAAAGCAGGTTGACTCTTTCCTGTAGTACAGTAAACCCAGCCAAGCCTGTAACATCAGTGGTCTATCACAGCTGATTTTTATACATGCTATGCAAGCACAATCTCACCTGTCATGGTGTCTTTCCTAGAAGTGTGTTCTCCCTTACTTCCATGGTAAGTGGCGTTTGTTCCAGTTGATTCATAGTCTGTTTTTCTTTCTTTTAGGCTGATCATTTCCCGAGGTGAGGCTGGGGCACTTGCTAGATCATAAAAATGGATTTATTTTTTCTCGCCATATATGACTGAAGGTAGTGTTTAACTCTAGAGTAAATATTTTAGTAAAGTTTACACTTGTTAGCATACTAACATTAAGCTGTTTGAAGAAACACTACTGCATTGGAAGAAAAAGTGCTGTTATTTCAAGTATAGGACAAATGTATTAATGGGACAATCAACTCCAAACATCATTTTCTCTCTGAACATTTTACTTTTTTCACTTAAACCCAACATCTAAGATGATCATTAAGAAAAAAGTACAATAATAATATTTTTTTTCCCCTTTAGCTTTTTAATTTCTTTAACTTGCCAAAACTTTCTGGTACGGGCACTTCCAATCTTTTTCTCAAAATGCTTAATTTATTTCTGTTGAAAAGACCATTAACTTTCAACTGTGTGAAAAATCCCTTATAAAGTCTTTCTCTGTTGAAAAGAAACAAACCCATGAAATGATTCTAATGGAGATGGGAAGAAAGATGTGTGTCATAAAAAACCTATAGCAAAGAACGCCTAACACTTAAAGGTAATTCACATTATTCCTCTGACTTTAAACATCTATGTATGAACACTTGCCATTAAAACAACAACTGCTACTTTAAGGTATCATTAAAACCAAATCCTGCATCACCAATACTTGTGGTATGGCTAAAGGGATGAAACTACAAGGTGACAAGGAGGAGAACTTCTTTGGCACTTGATTCTCATGTGCTCAAATATGTGAAGGTGATCACTGGCACTGATAACGAAGACAAGAGAGCTTGTGATGCTTAGGAAAGTGAGAAAAGCAGAGCTAAAAAGAATGGCTTTCAAGTAAAATGACTTCAAGATATTTAGGCGTTGGTAGATACAAAGTACTTCACAGGAGAAGGAGTACAAGGTGAGTGGCAGAGCACCTCAGAGCCTTGTGAAGGCACAATGGTACAAAAATAACTGAAGTGCTGGTGCTTATTTCCACTCCCTTCCCTGCCTCTACCCAGATATTCCATATGTAAAAAGAACTTCGAAAGCAATCAGGCCTTGCTTAAAAAAAGAAACAGAAAAAAACCAACCTCATTTGTGAAGTTTGTTTGTGAGTTATGTATTTCAGCATCTCTAAACTATGTTACGTTTTTTAGTTAAGGAGTAGTGAAGCACTTGTACTTAATTAAGGAGCAGGGAAGCACAAGTGATGTTGCATTCTGCTTAGATTGGTTCTGCTGGCCCTGGCCTCCGAATTTACAGAGCAAATGTGGGACAGATGGTTTTTCTTATGAAGCCATTAGAATTGGGGATTGCTTTTAAATTGCCTGTCAATAGTGATGCAATTCTAAAGCTGATAATCCAACAGATATAAAGAGACATGACATTAAATTACCAAAACAGGTAATGGCAACTTGAGTCTAATAGGGCACAAAACAGAATGCAAAACACTGAGAAAGTTGCTAACACAGGGATGCATTTTGTTTCGCAACTCTAGTAATGCTTTTAAGAACTCTGGTATTTTGAACAAAATTTACTGATAAAGACAAAACCATCTCTCTCTGTTCCCTGTGGGAATTCTCTCTCTCCTCCCATGTGAGAACTGCTGCTTTCTGGCAAGTGTTAAAATCCAGAAGTGACCTCTTTCAGAGTTTTTACTGGAAACTGACATAAAATCATTGGTTGACATTAGACTGAAAAGTGATATAAAGGTTTTCTGCTCTTAAAGGACACAAAAGAAGACAGAGCTCTCTACAGTAGATAAAGCATCTTATCACCAAGTCCTAAAGATGGATGGGACACTGTAAGTTCATTTACTTCAACTCTTTACCCCAAGGTATGATCCAGTATACCAAAATAACTCTTGACAGATTTTAATCTAAAACTAAAGATCTCTAATGACAGAGACCACATAACTGCTCCAAGCAGTCTGTTCCAGTGTTTTGTTTCCCTACTGTTAGGAAATGTTCCCTGACTCCTTGCTGCTCATTATTTCCATTTGTTTGCTATGAAAGTAGAGAAAGTTCACACTGTTCCTCTTCACAGCTGGCTCTTATGTACTTGAGTACTTGGTGCGTACCTCTTCCCACTGCCCCCATCTTGTTCAAGTTAAACAATTACAGTCCATTCACTGTGTCCTCATATCCTGATTTCTCCATCTCCCAATTCATGTGTGCAACTGACAAAAACCCCTAAATCATTTCTAAAGAACATCTGTCTAGCCAGATAATCTCCTTATAATTTATTTGTAAAAGACTGGATCTTTTTTTCCCTTTGGACAGTATCTCCAATTTCTCAGGATCACTCTGAATTTCAATAATGCCCTTCAAGGTACATAAGCCTCTCCCCGGTTTACGTCAGCCGCAAAGGTAATAGGCATCCTTTGCATATTATTTGGGCCCTTAATGAAACCACTGAAGAGTACTGAGCTCAAGGCAAACCTCCAAGCAAAGCATTCTTCCATTTTGGCAATAAGCAACAGTCATTCTTTGCAAATGGCTTTCAGTCATTTGCATACAACACACAACTTTTTCTGGACTGTTTCCTAGCTTGCCCATGAAAATCTTGTGTGAAAAGGTATTACTGACTACAGTAGATCTCATTTACTCGCTATTCTTTCCACAACATGTTTTAACTA